TTCCGAAATCTCTGGTATCTCTGATAGTATGTAAACTAGCCCTAGCAATGCACATTGATGGTTAAGCTTTTTTCTTCAACACTTCCAATCCAGCCACTGGGTCAGATGCAATTTCTTGGATCCATCTCCTTTACCATGGCAATTCATACTTTACAAGATGATGCAATACCTTTGTTATTGTATTGTTCTAATAGTGTTATTGTTAAGTGTCCTTGACCTGGGGGGGAAGACTTTCTTTGTTTATATGTTTTAAAGGCTACATAGCTATTTCCTAACGAAAATTAATTTTTTAGGAAATTAAGACAGAATACAATGTTTCAATTGTTAAAGAATATATGAAAATCCTATTACTGAAACATAAGAAAACCTATACTGTATAAGCATGTTTATCACAGCAAGTTCTCAATGTTTTCTTTTACAGTAATGTTGGATTGTAACATACACAACTGAGCTACAGCCCATGAAAGCTTACAATATACCAAGACAAACTTCTTAGATTTCAAGATGCCCCTAGTTGCCATTTCTCCCCAGGGAAACTCACCTGGAACCTATGCTGATGACACCAGCATTGGCCAAGGAAATTTTGTTCTAAGCTTTAACAGACTTTACGGAAGTTTATTTATTATGCTTTGCCTGCTGTTCTGATGTGATGTTTTGTTGGGTTTTATGTAAAATTGTACTGTTGTTTTCATTCTGTTCCTGTTTTCTACCCTGAAAGCACAGATGTTCTGAAGGAGCAGGATAATAATGTAACAAATAACTAAACATTTTTTTAAAAAAATCAGACTTTTCTCTAGAAAAAGTTTTGAGGATGAGTGTTATGTACCCTTCCAATTTTCCAGAAAACATGAAGAACACTGGCAGACATGTGTGAATTTTAAAAGAGAGAGAAAGAGAGAGATTGCTTTCCCTTGGCATTTATTAAAATCTTAATGATACGATGCTTCCCACTGTAATATTTTGAGTGACATTTGAGAATTATATTTTAGCTCAGAATATACAGAGGGCTTCCTGTTTTCATTCTGCATATTACTGCACATCATCACTCATCGCCAGTCTTCAAAAGGCTGCAACATGCTTTGAATGCCAAGCAGAGGAATACTTAAAAAGAAAACCCTACAAAAACCAGAAGCTGCAGAAACATTTGGTCTCTTGGCAGAAAATATGAGGAGTAATATTGATGGCTCTGGTGCTTATCATATCTGTCACATGGTTGGTTTGTAAAGGGTAAAGGCCAGCCCTTCCCTTTATAAAGAAAAAAATGTGTTTCCCATACAGAAGGAAAAATACTTTTAAGAAAAAAGCTTTACATAAAAGCAGTTTGAAAACCAGAATGATCTGGAGCCATTCTATTATGAGGTGAGGCTGAGGAGCCTGACGCCGAGAGAGGCCCGGAAGGAAAAGACATGAAACCGGGCCTTCTCGGTGGTGGCTCCTCACCTCTGGAATAATCTCCCTCCTGAGATCCGCGCGGCCCCCCTTTGGGCACTTTTAAAAGTCAACTAAAAACATGGCTATATATTCAGGCCTTCCCTCCAGCTAACACTTGATTTTCTCTTGTTCTACCTTATTTATTTTTGTTCTATTTTTGTATTGTGCATGTTATAATTATGATTTATGTAACTCGTTGTATTATTTTATTGTTTATATTCATTGGAAGCCGCCTAGAGTGGCCTTTTAGGCCAGATGGGTGGGGTATAAATCAAATAAATAAATAAATAAATAGTCTCTCGAGACTGAAGGATGCCTACGCCCACCAAAAAACATGCGCCAATCCCTCCATTTATTTACAGTGAGAGAGATTAAGCCCTGATTAATGGCTCCACTAGTATGAGAGGGGTACTGTAGTCCTGAAAATGACCTTTAAAGGTTTCGTATCTTTTATGTGTGGTCCCTAGGCTATTTTTTTACCTGCAACTTAACATCCACAAAGTCTTGGTCAACAAAGCAGAGTAGTTATCCATAAAATACTATGAATACACTTACTTCCAACTTGGACTGCCCATCCTACCCGCACATCCCAGGCTCAGTGACTGAGTGCATTAACCCCAAGGGAGGCCACTGGAGGGGGAAAAAAGGAATTGGGCCTTCTCAGAATTTGCTCCCCAACTTTGGAATACAGTGGTGCCTCGCATGATGATAATCCGTTCCACAGATATCGCTGTTTAGTAAAATCATCGTCTTGTGAAAACCATTTCCCCATTGGAATGCATTGAAACCCGTTTAATGCGTTCCAATGGGGAAAAATCATCGTTGTTCTGCGAAGATCATCCACAGAGCAGCCATTTTGCAAAGCGCTGATCAGCTGTTAAAATGGCTGTCCTGCGAAGCATTGGTCCCGAAAACATAAGGAAGCCATTTTGAGAAGCCGCCGATCAGCTGTAAAAAATTGTTGTCTTGCAAAAAAAAATGGTCCGTGAAGTACAGACCAAATCATCGTCCAGCGAAAATTGCCCATTGGAATCACTGTTTTGCAAATCGCTATAGAGATTGCAGAACCTCGTCATGCAGATTCGTCGTTTTGCGAGGTCGCCGTCTAGCAAGGTACCACTGTACTACCATCCAAAATCTGCCTGGCTCTCTCTCTGGACACCTTAAAAAAAACCCTCAAAACCTATTTGATTTTGGCAGATTTTCCAAAACATTCCTTCTGAATAACCGCTGAGAGTATCAGTCTAACATTTTTAATTGCCGCCTGCTTTTAAACATCAACTTTATTTTAATTTTAGTTTAATTATATTTGTGTTATTTTATGTTATTGCCATTGTTGTAAACTGCCCAGAGTGCCCATCAGTCAGATGGGCAGTACAGAAACCAAATAAATAAATAAAATACATTATACTGAATTTCCTCCCATTCTTTGTGGTTTATTTAAATTTTAATATAAGCATTACTTCAGAATATCTGTGAAGAGGACACTTATAATTTTGAAATGTCAGTAATCTGCTTTAACTGATGAGGAGGGCTCCCACACTTACGGGACAACCCTGTACGTGTCTAGTCATAAAGAAACCAGTCTTCAGTGGAACTGAGCCCCATTAAACTTAGTGGAGCTTGCTTATGAGTAGACAGGCACAGGCATGCACTGTAAAAAAAATATGTTTTCCTTCTCTGACATTCAAACTTTGCACTTAAGTGCTTGAAAATTTTGCTTGCTATAACATCCTGCAAAAAAATACAGAGCACTTTACTTGTTTCTAAGCTTTCCAAATAATTTTCTATTCAAGAGCTCTCCAATCCAGCCCCCAACATTTGAAGTTAGAGCTGGTATATAAACTCCAGCTTGAAACTCTGAAAAGTTAAGGCCAGCCAGTACTGACAGTGCTGGGTGAGACAAATCAGAGATCCGACTCTTTATGTATGTCAGAGTCTGTTATTTGGACACTAACTCTCATAATCCCTGATGGATGCTGGGAGGGATCGTCCCTGAAGTAACTTTTTTTTTCAGTCTCTGGACTCGGTATAATACAATACAGCATCTCTATGTTCCTAAAAAAAAACCTCATTCATTAGCATTCCTATAGGTGCCAACACAAGTGCAGACTGAGGAAATTAAAATGGGGGGGGGCACATAAAACAAAATTGTGTCATATTCTTTGTAATGTGTTTATCCTGCCTTGAATACACATACAGTAGTAATCATCCATGCACATTTTTTCTCTCTCCAAGCATTATTTTTGTAAAACAAAATGAAGTTTAGTCATAATTCAAGCCATCTGCAATGAAGGATAGCACATAAGCTTTTTTTTTTGTACCACATTTGGGAATGCCTGCCACCAATTACTGCTAAAAGTAAATACATTCTTGTACAAAATTCAGATATGACAATATCATTCCCCTAAAGAATATTTGGGTTCCATTCAGCAGTCAATACCAGAGCAGACTGATCCTAGTTGTGTTTACTCAGAAGTAAATCCCAATGCTTTCCAGTGGATTTCTTTCCAAGCTAGTTTGCTTAGGTCTGCATGCTTACAGACACAGCCTCAAAGGCTGGCATTCTTTAACCAAACCTGAACTTTGCCCTGAGCGCAGTGACACAGATCTTCCTTTGTTTCAGCTGAACTGTTATTATCCTAAACAAGGCCAGCAGCTTCTGTCCCTCGCCCTGCAGGCCCAATTTGCCTTTCATGATCTTTCTGCCTTGACAGCATTCAATGCCTTTCTAACCCACTTCCTAAACTCACAAACAAACCAACCTTTGCCTTATTTCTGTAGGCAATATCAAATGTGGACATCAGCAATAATGAAGATAGAATATTAAGGCTGGAACAAAACACATGCATGCGCATACTGGCCATCATCCTTTATGCCAAGCTTTCCCTAACCTGCCACACGTATTGGAACACAACTCCCATCACCCCCAGAAAGCATGATCCTCTCTCTCTTTCTCTCAACGCTAACAAAACTGCCCACCAATTTAGCAGACAAAACTGACAGATATCACCTTTTTAAATAAAATGCATCCTCTCAGAGGCAGGACAGAACTGTTACCATCTCCACGCAATCGGATTATGTCCTTTATTTTAATTTATTTATTTATTTGATTTATCTTATTTTAATTTATTTATTTGATTTATTTATTTGATTTATATCCCGCCCATCTGGTCTATACGACCCCAGTAGGCGGCTTCCAGTATAACAAAAACATATAATAAAATAACAGAAAAGTACATAAAACTTCAAAAAACAATTACAAACCAGAAAGAGGGTAAAATAAATAGAGAAAAATAAGGGAAACACTTATCGCCCGCCCCCCCCTTCTTCCTTCTCTTTGCCTAGCAGAACTGGAAAGAAAAACCAAGACGCTCCCAGAACTTCAACTGCTGACTGGGCAGCTGTTGTTCCAGAAGTCCAATCATGGCATGCTCAGAAGCCCTCTTTTTCCCTGCTGACCGCCTCACGTGGTCCAGACTCGTCCATTCCCGATAGCCACCGACCAGCAATGGATCTGCCCACCTCCCTCCAAGCTAGGTGAGGATGCCTCCCCCGCGTTGCTTTACCTTCCTGCCGGCGCGGCGTGGGGGCGCCCCCTGGAGACAACAGGTGGGCTCGGCGCCGTCGCTCGTCCGCCGGCCGCTTCTCACGTAGGTCACTTGCCGCCTGCTGGGCGCCTCGTGGGCTCCGTCGGCTCGAGGACGACCGTCGGGCGGGAACCGGGGCGGGCGCGCCATCGCGGGCTTGGCGTCGCCGACGTCCCAAGAGCACCGGAGCGCCAGGTGGAGCCCCAGGAGGAGGAGGAGGGTGGCCGAGAGGCAGAGGCGGAAAGCGACGCCTCTCCCCAGCCGCTTCTCCTTGCCCGCGCACCACCCTCCGGGGCTCATCCTGCTGCTGCTGCTGCTGCTGCTGGCGGGAACCGGGGCGGGCGCGCCATCGCGGGCTTGGCGTCGCCGACGTCCCAAGAGCACCGGAGCGCCAGGTGGAGCCCCAGGAGGAGGAGGAGGGTGGCCGAGAGGCAGAGGCGGAAAGCGACGCCTCTCCCCAGCCGCTTCTCCTTGCCCGCGCACCACCCTCCGGGGCTCATCCTGCTGCTGCTGCTGCTGCTGCTGCGCTGCCNGTCCCGCTGAAGGACACATGTCGGGACGGGAGCTCAGGGAGGCCCCGGAGTCGAGTTGGCGCTCGTCAAAAAAGGGTAGCGGTGACGGCGGCGAAGGGACAGACCTCCGCTCTTTGCCCCCGCCTTGCCCCCCTCACCGCGGAAGGACCTCTCGGAGGCGCCACAAGCTGGACCCTCGGGCCCCAAAGAGGCCCCCGGTCTCCTGCGCAGTTCAGGAGCAGGAAAGCTTTCCGCAGGTGGAGGTGGTCAGAGGAGGTGCAGGTGGTGGGATTCACCTCTCCACAAAGAAGCCAAGGCAGTTCGGCCTCTGGGTTTGGTGTGGTTTCGTTTTTTCCACTTGGCACCACAAAAGGGCCCCTAGAGTTGGTGGGTCCCCTCGGGCAAGGCAGCAACGTGGGTTGTCCCTGTGCTCTCTCCAAGAAAAGGGGAGGCTACCTTTGGCCCCGCTTGCCTGCCAGCCCTGTAAGGAAGGGTGAGCGGTGCCCTTCCCGCGGCTGCCGTCCCATCTGGCTGCGAATACACATTTTTTCAACCTATGCATTGCGGGACTAAAAGTCGGAAATTGGTCTTAAGTCAGGAAAACTGTTATATTCAAGCAACAGATTTTTGACCTGCTGCTGTAAGAGCGTGACCAGGTCTTGTGGCAACTGGAATAGAGAAGTAGCAAAATAGAAATAAAACCCTTTCCCAGGTCCACCCCCAGCAACGAGCCTAATGTATTTGTTGAGCTCTTGTCCCTGCATGATTTCCAAGGTCTGCCTGTAGCATTTGCAAAGCAAGGCCAGTTTAAACCTTTAGCAAAATACTGTACAAACTTCAAACATCTGTTTTCATCCCTACCTGCTAGTACTGCATTTAACTTACATATAAAGATAAGCATGTTTTGGGGTCATGCTTGTGTATGGAATGGACGTTTTGTCTCCTAAACCCAGCACAGAGTTGCAAATCAGTTTTGCTGCTGTTGGATTTCACAGTCAACTAGCACTTTCTACTCTGCACCATGCAAAGTAAATTTTCCAAATGTGGTTGTATGTTCCTGCTGGAGTTTACAGAGTACCAGCTCTCTCACCCTCTTCCCTGACTTCTCCTATGCATAAAGGTTGCAAATGAGGGTTGTCTGCTTTTCTAGATTGCAGAAATGATCTGCAAGCATTTAAACTCTACTTCCTTTCTTGCTGCCGATCTGCTCATTACACTTTCTGGAGTCAGAAAGTGAAAGTGAAACTTTCTCAGCTTTGGAAAGTTCCTGCTTGCCAGAAAACAAATCTGCTAACATCTTGGTGTCAGTCAGGTGGTTCTGTGTACGGCTGTATCTGAAACTACACTCTGAAGATGGCTTCTAAAAGGACAGTTTTTAATAGGCAGTGGCTGAATTTCAAACTTCATCCTGACTTTGTTCCATGGCTATCACCAGTTGGTGGAGACAAATGCAAAGGTTATTGTAAAGTGTGCTACAAAACCTTTGAACTAAGTAATATGGGAATTAGAGCTGTGGAGTCTCATACGCCAGGACAGTTACATCAGAAGAACCTGAAAATTAAATCAAGTCAACAGTCCATCGTAATATGTTTAGGTTCAAAGCCAAGTACAAGTTCAGAGAGTAAAACCAGAGAGGGTGAAGAGACAGCCCCTGCAAAAATTGGAAAACATGATCAAAGTGATGAAAATGGCAAAGAATTACCCACCGCACAAACTGCTATGGCTGCCTGTGTAATCAAGGACTGTGTGCTCTGGTGTAATTTGCTTGGGAATGGAGTATTTATGGCTGTGAGATAGGCTTTTGTCCTATTCAAGGGATGGGTGATTAGTGCGTCTTGTGGGTGTATTGTTGTGATAAGGAGGAGAGATTATCTGTCACTGTGATTGATGGGTGTCATTACCTGGTCTTTTGTGTGTAGTGATCCCCAGTCCTTGTGGCTGGGTAGAATTTGTTGACCTTTTGCACGCTGTATTTTTCAGAGCTGGGAGAAAAGTTTTCTTGAGTTTCAAACTTTCCTCTTTTTTGTTGAAGTTCTGCTGGTGCTTGTGGATTTCAATGGTTTCCCTGTGCAATCTGATGTAATGATTGCTGGTGTTGTCCAGTATTTCAGTATTTTGAAATAGAATTTCAGGTCCAACTTGTTTTAGGGCATGTTCAGCTACTGCAGATTTTTCTGATTGTTTTAGTCTGCAGAGTTTGTCATGTTCTTTGATTCTGGTGTGGATGCTTTGTTTTGTGGTTCCAATGTATACCTGGCCACAACTGCAAGGTATCTGGTATACTCCTGCAGTGGTGAGGGGGTCCCTTCTATCCTTTGCTGACCATAACATTTGTTGTATTTTTGTGGTGGGCTTGAATACTGTTTGTAGGTTGTGTTTTTTCAAAAGTTTCCCCATGCGGTCCATGACCCCTTTTATGTATGGCAGAAATACTTTATTTGTGGGTGGCTGTTTTTCTTCTTGTTGTTGTTTTCTTGGCTTGATGGCTCTTGTGATTTTATTTTTGGCGTAGCCATTTGCCTGTAGGGTCCAATTCAGATGGTTGAGTTCAGTGCTGAGAAACAGCTTCACAGTTCCGATTTGCATAGTCTACCAGTGTTTTGATTATGCCTCTTTTTTGCTGTGGGTGGTGGTTGGAATTTTTGTGCTAACCCTGTTAATTTAGTGAAATTAAATAAGTATGAATATAACTGGATTGTGCATATTCATCTTATATAAAATCCAGAATCTCAAGAGGTCCTGTTGCAATGAAGTACCCAATGAAAAATGGCTAGAATATGGGTTCGCTGTGATTTCTGTTTTTCTAAAACATCTATTTGGAAAATCTAGATGTGTATTTGTAGCATTTTCCATTCATCTTGATGTTAGGGAAGGTTTTCTGTAATTGGTGACCTTTGGAATAATGAATTGCCCAGAATGGTTGAGGCACTTGTAAAGTTATCATACAGTCTTAGCTTCTGACGTCTCTGCAGTAGTATATACTCTCTGCTTGGAGTAACTGGATTTCTAGAAGAAACCAACTTTTTTCAAGCATTGCACCTTGAATGCTTGAGTAGTTGTATCCCATGCACCAAACTAGGCTGCCATTTGAATATTACAGTGGCAGATGATGCTTTTATCTGTGTGACTTGGTTAAATGAGTGACTTATTTGTTAATTCGTCAATGCACACATTCTCCCATATGCTTATAAATCATTATATTGCATGTCATAGTCTACCTGGGCAGTATCTTATACCATAAGCAGAATACAGTCGTGCCTCGCTTAGCGATCGCTCTGTTGAGCGACGAAATCGCTTAGCGACGGAGTTCAAGCGATCGCAAAAGTGATCGCTTAGCGATGGTCCCTATGGGAAAAATTCGCTTTGCGATGATTGCAGAGAAGCGATCATCGCAAAGCCCCCATTTTCGGCCAGCTGATCAGCGGCTTCAAAATGGCCGCCGGGTAAACAAAATGGCCGCCTGCTGTGTGTCCTCACTTTAGAGGCACCGAAAATGTCCACCCCTATGGAGGATCTTTGCTTTAAGGTTAGTTTTGAAGCCCATAGGAACGCATTAATGGCATTTTAATGCGTTTCTATGGGCTTTTTAATTCCGTTTAGCAATGAAATTGCTTAGCAACGTTTTTTCCTGCACAGATTAATGCCACTAAGTGAGGCACCACTGTATATCATTTATGGCAGCATATTATTTCATGCATTCCAGGAATGTACAGTGTCAAGGGATTTGATCCAACAGGTTGATAGGTTCCCTTGATCCACTTTCAGAACACCCTCATTTTGTCTTCGTTCCTCTTGTATGCCTCTTGTCCTCCACACACGCTGGAAGATCATAGGCTTCTATTGATTACATGATCTTGCAAGAACAAAAATTGTTTCCACCACTGGTGAGCTGGAGAGTACATTTGACCTTCTCCACCAATGCTTTCCATTAGCACATAATACTACGGATGAATGAAAAGAGAGATGGATAAAATGCCCTTATTCTTCATCTTCTATCATATACCAGCCTGATATTTTAAGTTGGACAAACCAGTCTATTGTTCTGATCTCATTTTTGAAAATACTGTAAAAGGTTTTAGCGATGATGTAGGACTAAAGAATTGTTGCATGCATCATTAAAATTAGTTGAGCTCCAGCTGGCTAAGAATAGAATGATAGGACTTTTCATTTCAGAGTTTCCTATTATCACATCTTGCTTTAGTATGAGTTTCAAGTGGTATAAGAAAAACTTTGGTCTGGCATTCAGCTGAGATGGCACCACAGGAAGATAAGAATCACCAAATCTGTCACAAACTGATCAGAGGATCAAGGCAGAATGCAGTTCGTAGTCCTAAGAATATGAAAAGCCCTGCTAGAAGGCTCCAAATTAAACAAAGGAGTATTTGCCCCACCCTCCTGTTTCCTACCATGGCTGTTCTTTGCCCATTTTATTGTTTCCCCCCCTCTCCTGCCACCATAGTTCCTGAGGTACAAGTATTCAGAGTAGGATTTCCTTCTCTGTTAACTGGAGGTTTCTTCTGATAGCCAAGCTGCAACCCTGTCTGGATGGGAATAGCCTGGCCTCCATGCTCCTGTAGGTTAGACTAGAGTGGTGCCCCGCTTGACGATTACCCCACTACATGACAAATCCACTTTACAATGAGTTTTTCGCCCAGAAGTTTCCTCAGCTGTAATTAGCCCCTCAGATTCCAGATCTTCTTCAGCTGAACTCATGACACTATGGGCGGGAGCCTTTACACTGTTTTTAACTTTATGTCATGAGTGCAGCCTAAGATCCGGAACCTGAAGGGTTAACTGTAGCTGAGGAGAAT